AATGTACTTTGTCAACCCCTCTCTCCGTCCCCATGCTTCCTACTCTGCCGACCGTCACCGTGGCCAAATGGTAGAGCGTTCGATCCCCGGCCGCGTCATACCAAAAGACGTTTAAAAAATGGTACTTATTGTTACCCTGTCTGGCGATCGGCAATAAGGGGCTAATACGAGGACTTGTCGGTTGGAGTCAGTATACTGTGTCTGAGAAGGGTATCCATGTTAAACTGCGGCATGGTATCTCAGTGTGCTAGCACTATAAATCAGCATCAGTCCGGACTAGTACAAGCAGCCACACACACACATACACGTGTGCATGCACGTCGCAATATAAGTCCAATAATCTTGGACGAGACGTTAAACCCAATTTCAACATCACCTCCTACTCTGCCATGCCACCAGTAGTCCGACAAGGGAGGTAACGCCCAAATTAACAAAATTAACAAAGAGGAATCAATGGCAGAATTATTACTGACCTTCTAGGTCTTGCTCATCCTCATCCTCCTGTATATAATCGTCAATTCCCATAAGGAAATTACTCAACGCATTTCTGTTGCGTGTGGTAGTGGATGTCATCAGTACTCTGTAAATGAAGTTTCTATATAATGAATTGATTTAATGGGTTTCCAAAGGCATATATCATAGTACATTATGATGTAAACTACAAATATGAAATTTAAAGAAATAATTTTACTGAATATTGCCACATTTTAATACGTCTGTATAACCCCTAAAACAAACCGGAATGCCTTTAAGTGTCTTCTGGATGCTTTCCACCAATTGTGCTATTTTCATTTTTGGTGGGCTTTTCCGACTCTGTGCGATCTTGTGGCGAAATGAAGAGTTTCTTCAGTGTGGGTCTTCCACCCTTTTCTAAAAGGTTCTCCTTAATCATTATTTCTCTGAAATAATTTACTATTTACTAAATGTCACTATTTTCCTAATAAACACAAAAAAATAATCTCTGTGTGTGTGCGTGTGTGTGTCTGAGGGAGAGAGAGGGAGAGAGGGGGAACAGAGAGACCGAGAGAATGGCGTATATATTAATAACAGTTACTATATTTTCTCCTGTTGTTTGTTGCAATGACGAGCCACTGCATTACATCGGGATCTAACACGTGATTGTTGTCCAGTCCAGTTAGATGCGGTGTGCAAGGGCTCGTTTCTAAATCCTGGCTTTGTCTAAGCCAGGATCTCCACCCTGCTATCTCCGGCGACAGGGAATTGTCAGTGACTGTTTGAAATGATAACTCAGCACCAACTGCCATCAGTATGTTGGTTTTCATCTGTGATCCAACATGATTGATTATAGAGTATGTTTTAGGTGGTTGAAGCCTACTTGGAGATAAAAGGATCGGATGCAAGTGATCCCCTTCAGGTGGCACCCCGGGGTATCAATGGGTCCCAAAGGTATTTCACATGTTGTGATATACTATGATCAATTTTACCAAGTTTTAAGTCAATTTAAAACACATTATGTAGGTTTAATGTACCGGAAATATGCATATAGCAATGTTTTTCTTCTTTTTTTTAAGCTGAACAAACGTATTCCAATTAACAATGAAACGATTCTTTTAACGAAACCCACACATCTATCGCAAACTCTGGCTGCACCAATTTCAAAACCCTCTCAAGTCAGTACCATAACATCTCCTGAACCGCTTCCAACTTCAAACACTGTACGTTCGACTTCAAACCCCCAACCCTCGCCTTCTACCACTAACCCCCAATCAAGGACTCTCACGGTTGAAACGACAACTGACACCACACCCCAAAAAAGGTCCAGCAAAAGACGTAAACAGAAACAAAGCAGTCATAACCAAACTATTTGTCATGTTTGTGTCACAGTACACTGAGTGCACTGAGGACAATAATGCCATGTGGATTGGTTGTGACGATAAGAAATCGATTTGCAATTATTGGGTGCATTGTGAATGTATCGGCATTTACGTGAGGAAAGTTGGTGATTTACTAAACATCACCTGTCTATGCCTCGATCATAACGAAACTGTAAGGTGTAAATAAAATGAAGATTAATATAATGAATTTTATTATTTTTGTCCCATAAAAAATAATTGTGCATTACAAGTATTACTAAAAAAACGAAAGTTGTTATTTTGCATAATACATTTTGCATATGTGAGCTTGTGTACATTTAAAAGTACATACTTTTACTACAGATTGCTATGAATAAAAAAAATAACACTTATACACCGTTATGTACATAACGGCATAGTATAATTTACTTCATTCTGATTATAGTTAAGTTATTCATGTGTATTTCTTATATTCTATTTATACCGCTTTAAATTACCCATAACCCTTGCCAAATGAACCTATAAGTAGTGTGTGGGATACGTGCTTGACCATTTCTTACCTGTTCCAATTTGGGAAGATTTCTGCAGCTCCTCAGCCATGCATCACCTGTGGGTACACCTGGAGGCATCCACATTTTCACTTTTCTGTTGTGATTCTCCAATACAGAGTCACCGCCTTCACCTTTACTGTGATGACCGGAGGGTGAAATTACCTCGCACTGATGAAGATACGTGACAATTTCTGGTGGGGCTTGTAATCTCATAATTTCATCTCTTAGAACGATTTCTTGATAGGAGGTGTTATTCATTGCATAAAAAAGACTGCAAAATGAATCCCGGCTGTGTATCATTGCTTGGCTGTTGTTTCTCCTAACAGCAGAACGATGTTGGTTGGTTGGTTTGTTGTTTAACGCCGCACTCAGCAATATTCCAGCTATATGACGGCGGTCTGTAAATAATCGAGTCTGGACCAGACAATCCAGTGATTAATATCATGAGCATCGATCCACGCAATTTGGATCGATGACATGCATCAACCAAGTCGGCGAGCCTGACCCCCGATCCCGTCAGTCGCCTTTTACGACAAGCATAGTCACCTTTTACGGCAAGCATGGGTTGCTGAAGACCTATTCTACCAATGCATGAATAATGGAATGATGGACACGAATTCGACATTGGGGTTTTTATGTTGCTTCAGCCAAGCATGAAATGCACAAATGATGCTCCGATGCCTTTGACAGTAAGAAACTATACAGAAGTTCGTCAGAGGAATCATATAGAAATATAAGGAGTATTTCCCAAGACTTGTGGTGGTTGGTGGCTGACTAAGCCATATTGACAGCAGCTGGAGCAGAGAAGCCAAGCAACTTTGCGACATGTTGTAAAAATGGCCACCATAGAAATTTGAAAATTGCCCTCACATCATTCATCTCAATGTGTCCTGCCCCAGGTACAACCAAACTATGCTTGTAAAGTGGGTGACTGGAATCCACAACAACATCATCATTGCGGTGCTCAATACCACAGTGCCCACTCAAGCCCTACAAGCCCTTTTTGAAAATAGCCTGACAAGCTTGACATTTGTAACATTTAGAAAGCATTCGGCAAAATACATTGTAAGGAAAACCATCGCATCGGAGAACTAGCCACTTTCTACTATTACCGAAGTCACTATCTGAACATATCTTATACAGAACAGTTTGAGGAACTATCATATGATGCAGGATTGACCATGGCTGGATCACCCAAACGAATTTCAGGTTGAATAATTGGATGGCCAGAGGTTACAACATCATAAGGATTATCCTTTATTTAAAGGAACGACTGGAAAATGAATGTGTACATTCACCAATATTGTCACTGAACAAACCATTTCTACACGTCAAGCTGTCAATTATTTCCAACCTGCTTTCCAAGAATGAATCAACTAGTGAAGAATGAAACTTCTTACTAGCATCATCCAAAGCTTGTGCCATATCATAGCCCAAATTACATATTTGTCACCAAGCGATTGGTGATAATTGGGGACAACATTGGATTTCACTGCTGGGGTCATTTATGTACATAATGTTTGTCATGACACTGCATTTTGGTCTATGATTTATTGATACATGCCAGGATCTACCAATAACTTGGTCATTATCAAAGAAAACTGCTAAAGAGCCTTTTTAGGGGCTACGAGAGGTGTTTCCGTGCCAACCTTCAACCAGGATGTAAGGGATGGATAGGAACCACAGGGTGAGGTTGAATTAAGTATATTAACACAGTGTTTGCTACCAGATATGAAGTAAGTGAGTACTGAAATTGCAAATGATATCGGCGTGATGATTGTGGGAAGCACAGCACAATATAGGAATTCAACACATCTTGCTCACATGACAGTTTTCTTGGAAGATTGAAAAGTGTCGGTATCCTTAACTGTGTGAGAAACTTATACACGAAAGAATGTCAACAAGAGGACATTTCTTCTTTTCACCCAGTCCTGATCATGAATGTTAAAATTGTCATAAAAATGGGAAGATTTTATATTGATCTCTAACTTCTTTTTTGTCATTTTCTAATTGGGAATGGATGTAGGTGCCAAGGCCACGTGACAAACAAGTGAGTTCCTACTCCGACAGGTTATCATTTGACAAATGATCCAAAACACTTTGTACGTTTTCATTCAGTTTGTCTCAGGAATGGAGATTATTTTTTCAGTTGTATACTTCGCACAGGCAGTACACAAGTAGGTTGATCTGGCTGAAGGTACTTTAGCTCTTTTAGTTCCTCTTGAAGGTACTTTAGCTCTTTTAGTTCCTCTTCAACTTTTTTGGCGACTTTTCTTGATTTTATTATGTACCCTTGGAAATCTTCAATTTGAGAAAAGATTTCATGCTCGCTGCAACTGCATTTTTCGCCCATGTTGTAATTTTAAGATATATACCTCTAACATTACAATAAATAGTATTACAATGTTATATTGTTTACACTTGTTTTCTTTCATGGCCTATTGTTGGCATCCAAAAGGACATTTGAAAATAATACTCCAAACTTTAAATCCAAGGCAAGCGCCGTAAAACCATGTGTCCAAATTACGAACGCTGCATTCATTTCTGCGACGATGTATTGTCTTCCATAGTTTTAGTGGGCGTTGGCACACGATTTGGGCGTTACCTCCCTTGTCAGGACTGTAGGTGGCGCGGCAGGGGAGGAAGCATGGTGGACAGAGACAGGGGTTGACATTTCAGGTAATTATTTACTTTCAATGTAGTGTTTTTGACTAATTCAAAGCATGGAGTGTGTCTCCAAATGGCGTAGGGTTACTCGGATTCACAATAACCTGAGCAACAAACGGGGTAATGTTATAAAAATCGACGAATGAAAGAAGTTTTCGTAATGAACATTGACATGTATTTTATACCCTCCTTCATGCGCACGGACAAAAATCGCATGTTTTTTAAAGCCACACAGGGCCAGTTTATTCTATCAGTTAGGGGTATTGACACCAGTTAAGTTCATTGTCACCAGTTGGGGGTTTTCCCCGACCTGTCTGTCAGTTCAAGGCTGTCAACGGGTAAATTTCTCAAAACAATGCTACGTTCGGTCTCTGTCTTTACCGGACCTTTTTACCACCTCGGCGAACTGTGTCTCAAGAACATTAAATTTCTTTTCGGAAGTGTCTATTTCCTTCATACTACTTTGATTTGCATTTTCTTGGGATTTTTCAACCAGCTTAATCATCTCACTGAAACTAACAATTTTGGCGTCAAGGTCTTTTTTCAACTTTTCCGTTTCCTGTTAAAGAACTTCGGTCAGCAGTTGTGTGAACTCTGTTTTCATTTTCTGCCAACTGTTCACTGAGAAAAGATCTCATACCGTTGATTGCAGTGAGAAGCTCTTCGTTTGTGATTGCTTGTCGTACGTTCGTACCGTCGACTGGACTATTTCCTCCCAACAACGGGCACGAAGTTGCATCCATGAGTTCACCGTTGGTTGACACATTAAATGTAAGTCTGTATTTCATGTTTTCGCCTTTAGGCAGCTGAAGGTTAACTTAGACATTCTTCACTTTCAACAACGCGAGGTTGCGACATCACACTTTCAACAAAATCGACATCTTCATTCATATTCGCCATATTCCAACGTTAGGCCTTCAATACTTTCAAATCCAAGATAAAACTGCCCCTTTAAAACTGATCTTTAGACAGAATTTCACACACATGTGTCGTTATTTTCAATGGATGGTCACTCGGTGAGCCGATTATTTCAGATTTGTTTTCAATCGTGAGGGAGACGAGCGAAACACGTCTTACGCTGTCCAGGGGCAAATAACTCTGATCTGTGATTTCATTATGTTTTTATGACTCGTAGGTCATATATGGCCGAGTGTTTTAACGTGTACACTGATATACCAAGTCTGTACAACTTGTGACAATATCTCTCACTATCGCTTTCACACACGGAGCAATACTATTCACTAGTTGTGTGTACGCTCCTTAAACCTCCTTACGCGTATCTCTATCAAATTGTAATTGATATACTATTGAATAAAACTTGATTACTTAAACTGGTTGCCTCTTATTGATATGATTGGCACTTTTATTGAGAGCTTTTTGCAGCAAATTGTAGTTGATATACTATTGTATACAACTTGATCACATCAATCACAGGATTGTCTGGTCCAGACTCGATTATTTACAGACCGCCGTCATATAGCTGGAATAATGCCGAGTCCGGCGTTAAACAACAAACAAACAAAACTTAAACTGGTTCCCTCCTATTAATATGATTGGCATTTTATGGACAGCTCTGATTTACATGAGGTCACTTTCTCTAATTAATCTGCTCGTTAGAATTTTCTCTTGTCATGTAATAGCACTAGTACTGTTTTCATCGGGTCTAGTCATACACTTTACGATTCTTACCCCATCGAATAATTAGCAAATATACATTAGCAGAGAGTTTATATTACTTCTTTTACTTTAATATCTACATGTATTGTTAATTGTGTAAGTATTAATACTTACATCACTGTATCTCAGAACGCAGAACTGGTGGGTTATATCCCATTAGTTAGACGTCCCATTAGTTAGACGTCCCAATTGTTAGACATGTTTATTCGGGCAAAGAGGGAATATACCTACAGGTGTAATGGATCGGTCCTAATTAGATTAAAGTACTGGGTAGGGATAGGGGACTCACAGTTTAGGGAGTATATATGTTATAATTTCGTTTAATTAACCTAAATTACCTTACTCTCAGCACAGGTTCAATAGGCATGAGATTTCCTATGTAAACTATGGAGTAGCTTAATTGTCTTACTGTATGATCAGTTGAAGGAGTTGAGTTTAGATTATCTACTCATCAAACAAAAAAATTGATCTTGGGGTACGTATTATTATCAGTATCGATATGGTTGGTTTAAGGTAAGTAGAGTACCTCACCTCTCGGCGTGGAAGTGAGCAGTTGATATTAGATGGATATATTTACAACAGAAACCGCGAGAGGCAAACCTGCACACATTGGAGATGTGTCGTCAAGACGAGCAATGGGAAATGTACGACTGTCGGTGACTTTCTTTGCAATCAGTCGGAACATAACCATCCGCCTGAAGATGAAACCAGAGTGAACTTTGTCTGCAATCTTCGTAAAAGAGCGCGAGAAGAAACCACACAGATGCAGGCATTGTACGAGGAGCAAGTCACTCAAGTAGATGAAGCCAACATGCCAGCGATGCCAACATTTCAGAGCGTGAAAGGTGCACTTTACAGGTAAATATCATCCCATATTTTTGACTTGGTTAGAATTTACTCTCTTGTTTTAGGTCCCACATAACTTGTTTCGCTCTTAAACATTTCAAGTTAATGAAATCATTATCAATATTTCATGTAACATATGTGTAACTGTTCCTTTGCTCTTGTTCAGGCGTTACATTCCAGTGTTACCCAGGTCGCGGTCAGCAGTAGACATTGAAGACAAATGGTCAGAGACAACAGATGGACGTCCCTTACTACTGTTCAGCGACGGCGACGATGACAAGATCCTGGCGTTCTCTTCTGCAGAACAGATACAAGCACGCCAGGAAGCTGACACCCTTTACATGGATGGTACCTTCACAGCATGTCCAGGTTTATGGGATCAAGTATACATCATTCATGCCAGAGTTGGTCCCAACGCCTTCCCTCTAGTTTTCGCCCTTTTGCCAGATCGCCAAGCAACAACCTATGGCCGGCTTTTTCGACAACTGAAGACAGAAGTTCAAGAGCGATTCAACAGACCTCTGTCACATAGCACACTTGCTTCGTCTGGGATAAATAAACTGTAAAAGTTATTAAATGTAAAGTGTACATTACCAAAAACTGTCACAAAGTGTTGTTACAAACTGTATAAAATTTATCAAATGTAAAGTGTCATTAAATGTTAAGTATAATATTAAAGTATCTATTTAAAGCTGCTTTCCTTTGATTGTCAGATCTTATCTGGACTATTCCATTTTAAAGTCTGAGGTAACAAGCATAAGGATTAGTGTGCACCCAACCGTTTAAAGTGTTGTTATAAGCTGTCTAACTATTGGGACGTCTAACTAATGGGAGGACACCAACTGGTGACATCGAAACATGTAATTAGTTCGTAGAGAATTGTTAAATCGCATTCCCTGTATATCCCTGCTTGAACAAAGAGCCTACATGTATGCTGTAGTCGGTGCAACTGTGTGTCCACATGTACAGTCTCAGCTGGCTAACGTCACATTTCCCATCAAGTCAGCTCTACTTCTCAAGCATAATTTAATTTTCGAAGACATTTTGAATGAAAAGAATTCAAAAGAAATTCGTTTTATAATCATATTTTAACAAACCTACATGTATTTACCAAATTGAAAACTTATACAGCCGTTCTAAATTTCGTTCCAATGGACCTGGATCGCATGTACATGTATATGTCTAACTTTTAACTACATAATATATATTCTTGATAATCAATTATTCTCGTTTTTAATTCGAATGAACACATTATGTGTCTAAATCTGCAAGATGACAGACAAAATCCTTTTTTGTGCAATGCACACAATACAAACGGAGCGGCTAAAAGAGACATTAACTGAATGATCAATGTGCAGTTCACGATTTCTTCTCGTTCAATCTATTGTACTTAACATGTGAAGTCAGTTCCAGGAGCACTTTAATGGTGTGGTATTATGAATGAAATTAGTTAGAATATGAATAGTCAAAAACAGTAACCATATTGGATGTGACAGACAGACAGAATATTTTATTTTCGTCTCACCTCAGGCACAGATAAAAACGATATATAAACCTCGTCATCCCTTACGGCAATATGAGAGACGTAATTATATAATATTTAGTATAAAATATCATACAAAATGTAATCATCCATACTATCTAAACAGACACGTACCACTAAAATCGAAGATACCAGCAGGTTTTGGCACAAACTTTCATAATATTCGGGCAAGACATGAAAATTTTAATTTTTTCTTCGCCAGGGGCTGTAATAAAATCAGGATAAAACTGACAACATAGTGTAAAATATCTATTGTTAAATGCATTGGAGTAACACATGCATCACATCCTCCACAGAACCCGGGCAGTTTAACCAGGTTCGTTCTTAAACCGGTTTGTTGCAGTACCGTCCAGTATCTATATGGGGGGGGGGGGGGGGGGGGGGGGGGGTTACTGCTCCACATCTGAACAAGGGGAGGTCTTGCCTATAGCTCCTTGGTATGTCACATGTCAATTATGATTCAGCTCCGAAGTCAGACTTGAAGTGTCGAAGTTTATTACCTCCCTTGCCTCGTCTGCTCTCGGGACAGTCAAACTTCTGCTTCCAATCACCAATGTGCAAGTATAACTTGTCTTCCAACACTACGCTTGTGCCGACGCCCGGGGGTCATAAAACGAATTGGTCCCATAAAAGGGCATTAGTTTCGCAGATACTCCGCAGAGTTTCTGCCGAGCTACGCTGCTATTTTACCAACAGTCACCGCGTAGCTACGGGAAAAGTAAAAATGTACAAACATTCTGCGCAGAAATTTTGCGAAATAAAGTAAAAGACTAAAGTGGATCGAGTACTTTGACCAGGGAACGTTAACTCCCATGAACAACTTTACCAATTAAACGAGGTGAGTGAGACTTGCCCCAGATCTATAAAACCAACACGTATTAGAGGGAGACTATGTTTCAAGATAAGGCCCCCATTTCCAGACGAGGTCATAATCATTTGAAAGTAGTACTCTAAAACTTAAAGTGTAAACATTTATTCAAGTGTTGGGTTGTTTGACCGGATATTGGAATATTGGAATCCTAAATTCCGCTTAACATTCGTCAGTGGCTTGTCGATGGGCGAATGTTACACAAACATGGCTAACATGGTATTATATCATAAATGAGGTTCTCATTCAGGCTTTGTATTCAAAAGCAGTTTCTAAAGTGATTATAATGAATAGCAATATGTCTTAAGGAAATAAAAACAATATGTATAATACGCTGGCACAAAGCTCACATAATTAATAAAATATATATTACGACTATATGATATTTACGACACGAAAACACACTCGGCTAATAATCTTTAATTATTAACTATTCTATAACCGAAATGTTTTGTTAAATTGTAAGATATATTCACAAGCCTGTGGCGCCAGGGAAGATACGGGTCAGAATAGGTCTTCAGCAACCCTTGCTTCCCGTACGCGTGAGAGGCAACTTACGGGATCAGGTGGTCAGGCTTGATGACTTGGCTGATGCATGTCATCGTATCCCAATTGCGTAGATCGATGCTCATGGTGTGAATCACTGGATTGTCTGGTCCAGATTCGATTATTTACAGACCGCTGTCATATAGCTGGAATATTGCTGAGTGCGGCGTTACACAACAAACCAACATAAGCCGGGGGGGGGGGGGGGGGGGGGGACATTTCATCCCCATTAGCTATCACACACAAACGCTCCTCCTCAGTAGCACTAAATAGTAATAATGAACGTCTAATCAGAGCATCACATAAATGTCTCGGTTTTTCAGTGACCATCACATGTAGGAATCCCTCCGGCGTCTTCTGACGACTACAGCGATGCAGAAGGCCACGGCCAGAAGGATGATGACGCCGATGACTCCCGCTGCTATCAAGGCGAAGTCAAAGTTTGGGCTGCTGGTGGTAGCGGGAGACGTTGAATTCCGGGCGGCTGAAATGAGAAAAAAGACTAAATATAGTTTTGTAATAACAATCAACTGTATCAGTGATTTGGGATTTTGTTTTCGACCTGCCTATCATGGCATGTACACAATACTATTACATGATACAAATTAAGCTAACGCTGTGTGTGTGTGTGTGGGGGGGGGGGGGGGGGGGGGGGGTTAGTGAATCTAGGATTCCAATAATTGCCTAACAGGAAGTTAGCCACTTAGAAAGCAGCTTTCTTAAGCTTTACGATATCAGTTTTGTGTTGAGTTTTATAGGTTCCATGAACATTCCGCAAACATTGTAACCAAACAATATGAATATTTCATTTTTATTTTTTATTACGCGTTTGTGTCGTTATTTATCGTGTAGTTGTCCGATTTCGATCGCGAACTTTGATACTACTTAATTTCGTTTATCCGACATAATCATATGGTTTAAACATATTTTTATTTCAAAAGAAATCTGGATCGGTAAACAAGCAAAACTTGCTTATGTAAATACCTCTCCAGGTAATAACTTTACAACAGCTGGTTATATATCAGATTATATGTAAAATAGTGCTAAACATAAACATAGTAAATGCACAAATGAAATATATGAAGCCAATACAAGTGGTGTCTGTGAAATAAGATATAGCAGTTTTCCTTTACTACATGCATAAAATTAAGCTACTCGAATCTTTTGCTTTTGACAATGAAATCGTGAACTGATTTAAGAATAGTCATGTTTGTAGAACTGCTAACTGAACTATTGCCATGTAATACCGTTTTTAAATCATACCCATGTGTGTAGAAGTACATAGTGTTTCTGATATTATGGTATTTTTGACAGGTATAGAAATCATATGACATAATCATATGCAACCAACCATGTCGGATTAACGGGACTTGACTGTACAAGAACAACAAAAGTAATAAAGGTGGAAACTTGACAAGGGACGCCAAACAGATAATTGACGTTGATAGGCAATTAGCAATAGACATTAGAAGCCAACACTTTACAGTAGTTAGCGCTGACAGTATGGAAGCCAGGACTATATAATCCATGATAGGTAAATGTCAATGGACAATGGGTAAACGGGAGGCCGGGGTCATGATCAATTAGCACTGACAGGTAAACGGGAGGCCGGGGTCAATTAGCACTGACAGGTAAACGGGAGGCCGGGGTCAATTAGCACTGACAGGTAAACGGGAGGCCGGGGTCAATTAGCACTGACAGGTAAACGGGAGGCCGGGGGTCAATTAGCACTGAGAGTATGGAAGCCAGGACTAAATTATCAGAGAGAGAGAGAGAGAGAGAGAGACAGAGAGAGAGAGAATATTGTTTATTAAAGTGGCACATGTTATATACACTTCGTGATAAGATATATACAAAACAGTAAAATATAACATCCGGCCAAATATGACCTACGAGACACTATAAAACATATCAATCATAAAACTATTCAGTTGAAACAGAATAAAAAAATGTAGCACACGGACACATACCTACGTGAAGCTACTTTTCAGCCACACGGAGGCGCGTACTCATACTAAACATACACCGCACATATACATACATCCATAGACACATATACATAAATACATACCTCGTGATGCAGGCGCGGAGCACGGCCGTGGGCGGTTTCAGTGAGGAGCGCACAAGTATGCCAGGATACAGGGCAACTGACTTCGAAAGTCCTAAGTTAAACAGTGCGCTCCCCCTTAACTCCCCCCACCGCGTTGCGCCGCCCCCGCTCCCCGAGTGCGTGCGTGCGTGCGTGCATACACACACACACCACGTCATACGTACATACATACATACATACATACATACATACATACATACTTGGCTTAAAATGAAATTGCCTTCTTTTAACCATGTTGTAAATTGATTTGGCTAAAATACATTGGAGCGATTCTTCGTTCATAATAAAAATAAACTTTTCTAAACCACTCATATAATGAAATGCTTTATCTACTGAAGTTGCTTCTTTAGCTAAGTTGTATCTTAAATCATCATAAAATGGACATTCTACTAAAAAGTGACATTCATCTTCAACATAATTTACATGATCATTAGTAGGATTGGCGTGACAATATTTACAAGTCCTATCCAACAGTGGGGTAGGTGGCTTGGCGTAGCGGCCGGTCTCAACATGTAAAGGTAAAATACCACATCGAAAGGATGCTAAAAGTCTTCGATGATCTCTAAAACGTCCATGACATAAATAAGGCTCAGCAGTAGGTGATGATTTGTACATTCTGTATGTGCGTAATGTATTGCCATTTGGATTATTCTTGTCATTCCAAAGCGCAGTATACCACATATCACAATCTTCAGCAGTTAAGAAACACTTTACACGGTCAACACACTGTTTAATGCTGTATCCACAATAAGGTAAATATGACAAATTATAGTGTTTACGTTTTTTTATCCCAGGATTGTGATCGGATTTTGGACCAATTATGAATGATAAGAGGGAGATGATGGGCCTGCATATTCTGAATTCTAAAATATAATCTAAAGCATTCAACGTGCTGTGACACTTTCACAGAACACCAGCCCATGTCCCCCCTAATAGCAGTAACTGGGGCATTTTTTCTTACGCCTAGAAACAAACGACAAGCCTTATTTTGAATTATTTCCACTTCCTTATACTTATTTAAACCCCAAATGCCAGCACCATAAAAAAGAACAGGTTCTACAAGAGCTTTATAAAGCTTGTTAAATACTTCGTAAGACATGCCACCCGCGTGTTTAAACTTTGAATACAACGCAGAAAGAGCTCTGCTAGCCGATTTACACAGTACCTGGACTGTTTTGTGCATATCTAAATGCTCATTAAAAGTTAAACCAAGATATTTGTAAGAGCTTTCATAATCAATAATAGATTTGCCGCATACAAATACTCGCTCAGATCTAGCCACAGATTTGTTTCTGAAATGCATGATTTTGCTTTTGTCTGAATTAATATCCAAACGCCATTTTTGACACCATATATTTAAAACATTTAACATTTTATGTAACGAGTCTTCGTCTTCAGCTAACAAGGCTATATCATCAGCATACAACAAAACTGATAACACAGAACTTTCAATAGGTATGCCACAGTTTAACTTATTCATTTCTAACACCAAATCAATAATATAAACGGAAGATAACGTTGGCGATAACTTGCATCCTTGTTTAACGCCCAAGGTAACATTAAAAGATTCAGTGATAAAACCATTGAGCTTAACTGCACACTTTACGTCCATATATAAGGCTTGTACAGCGTGTATCATTTTACCATGACTACCAACAGACATAAGCTTGTACCAAAGGCAATTGCGATTAACCCTATCAAATGCCGCCTTAATATCAACAAAACAGACATACGTAGATCGTTTAGAGGCTTAACGGTTATTAACAATACTATAACTGATAGGTAAATGGCAATTGACAATGGGTAAAAGGGAGGCCGGGGGTTATTAGCACTGACAGGTCCTCCCACAGAGGAATTGCATAAATGACATGGTCGTCTTCCAAATGGTATATTTTTCCACCTCCCTGTTTCTACAGGTAGAAAATGATTAGTTGTTCGAAATTTTAGCAAGGGAATGGAGATATTTACACTGTAAGATAAGTATTGTTCTAGACTAAAGTTGGGTTTTATACAACTATAAAATAAACCTTTTGATGATGCCGTTTGGGCACTGTGCCAATTTTGAAGAAAATGGTCCTTTAATCTGTGTTCCACTAGATTTAATAATAACTCTTTACTGTTTACTGTCTGATTGTGCCAAACATAACTTAAACCACAGCTATCCAGAATGTTTTTGACATATAACAACCAAGTTGAATGAAAAATGTTATTACAGTGTTTTTGATATAAAGTCTTATACATAACAACAGATAGCTTATTTACATTTTGTGACAATATCAGGTTGCACCAAAAGGCCAATACTCGTTTTTTAACAATAAAATCGAGTGGTAGGCGACCTGTCTCGCCATATAGCATGTAAGTGGGTGTGCTCTTACGTAATCTTAAACTTAATTTTAAAAATAACTTGTGGACATTTTCAATGATAGAAAAGTCTGTAAAACCCCAGACTTCACAACAGTATAGAAGAATTGGAACAACCATGTGGTCGAACGCAATAAATAAACAATCTAATGGTAGATTTAAGTTTCTAGCTTTGGATAACAAATAATACATAGCTTTAAGTCCTTGTTCCTTAAGAGATATTATGGCTTGGTTACATTTTCGGTTCATGTGAAACTTTATACCTAGATACGTGTAACAATCACAATTATCTAGTTCAACATTATGAATTTTAAAAACATACTTTTTCTTACGCAGAATAATTGCAGAAGTGCCAAAGATAATAACCTTTGTTTTTCGCATATTTATCTTGAGTTTCCATTCAGTGCAGTATTTCTCGAAATTATCTAAACAGTGCTGTATACCTTCAGGGGATTCAGAAAAGAGCACCGTATCATCAGCGTATAAAAGAAGGAAAAGTTTAAGTGTACCAATGTTGATAACATCACAATTATTAGATTGCAAATAGGTTTCTATGTCGTTCAAAAAAATAGCAAATAACAAAGGCGGCAGATTTTCTCCTTGACGGACACCATTATCACAGTGGAAAAAAACAGATATTTGACCGTTTAGACAAATACATGACTTTATATCATTGCACATATTCTTTATAAGAGTACATAATTTTCCTGAAATACCATAGCTTACAAGTTTAAGCCACAGTCCGTTCCTCCACACATTATCAAAGGCTTTTTGAAAATCAACAAAAACACAAATAGTTTTTTACCTGAATATTTCAATAGTTCAATGATACATTATCAACAGTAGCGTATCCTTTACGGAATCCGGCTTGAGCTTCAGATAATATTTCATTACTTTCAACATAACATGTTAAACGCAGATTAATAACACTTGTAAACAATTTCCCTAGGCAGGATAAACGGTAAACGGTAGGCAGGGAGTAATTAGCACTGATAGGTAAAGGAATAGAGATAGCAATGGAAGCCAGGAAGATAATTGACACTGACAAAGATCAAAGCAATAAGTCCTAAGTTTTAGAGTCCTACTTTCAAAGAATTACGACCTCGTCTGGAAATGGGGGACTTATCGTGAAACATAGTCTCCCTCCAATATTTGTTGGTTTTATGGATCTGGGGAAAGTCTCACTCACCTCGTTTAATTGGGATAGTTGTCATAGGTGTGGACGTTCCATTGGCAAAGGTCTGTACTGTTGATTCGGTTGACGTTGAATTTTCTGCTGTAGTTGAACTTTCTGCTGTAGTTGAACGTTCTGCTGTAGATTCTGATGCCACGGTCGTCGATGTAGCCACGTGTGTCTTTGTGGTAGATGATGGTTTTGTAGTCGTCGACGATTTGGTCGAAGTTGTCGCGTTCATAGTTGTTGTCATGGTTGTTGTCGGACTAGTTGAAGTAGCCATGGTTGATGGTGGAACCGTTGTTGAAACTGTCAGTGTACAAGTGTATGGTTCATACATAGAGATTCTCACTCGAGTTACTTTTTATACCGACTATATGAAGACGACCCGGTAAAGCTTTAAAACGCGGCCTCATCGACGAGTTTTCATATATTTGATATAAAATGACACAAGGGTGAGATTCAATGTATCCTCCAAAATCATTCATCCAACTATAAAGGTTTGTAAATAGTATTAACCAGTGTCACCAGTGTACAATGTACAGCTAACCAGCTTTAGTGGCACAGAGATTAGTGATGTCAATTGATCGTGACGTCATTGTAATAATCATCATCACCCCAATCATCTCACCTTAAACCCTCTTGGTGACACGGAACCATATATAGTCCCGTGCAGTTGGCCCTTTTAAACTGTGAATTGAGATTGTGAACACAAAGTGCGCACAATTTTAACCATCAGCATCCCAATCATCCCAGCTTTAACCCTTTTGGTGCCACGAGACCATATATAGTCCCGTGAAAATGTATGTCCCTTTTAAACTGTGAATTGAAATTGTGAACACAAAGTGCGCACAATTTTAACCATCAGCATCCCAATCATCCCAGCTTTAACCCTTTTGGTGCCACGAGACCATATATAGTCCCGTGAAAATGTATGTCCCTTTTAAACTGTGAATTGAGATTGTGAACACAAAGTGCGCACAATTTTAACCATCAGCATCCCAATCATCCCAGCTTTAACCCTTTTGGTGCCACGAGACCATATATAGTCCCGTGAAAATGTATGTCCCTTTTAAACTGTGAATTGAGATTGTGAACACAAAGTACGCACAATTTTAACCATCACATCCCAATCATCCCAGCTTTAACCCTTTTGGTGCAACGGACCACATATAGTCCCGTGAAAATGTCCCCTTTAAACTGTGAATTGAGATTGTGAACACAAAGTGCGCACAGTTATAACCATCATCACCCTAATCATCTCAGCTTTAATATCCTGTAACTCACATTTTTTACAGTGCTATGGATTGTGAAATATGGTGAGATAGGTAAAATGGTTACTGCGCTTCTCGACGATATTCTGCAATGTTTGAACATCAGGCGAATGCAGATTGTCGTTCTGTTTATGATGCTTATTTACAGAAAATATTCAAATAAGATATGGAAAGATATCTATGATCGTTAATATAAAGGTGGTATAATGTTTATTAAAAGTTCATGATCAACACATAAACATTGAATGACCAAGCCCGAAGTGATTGACAGGGCACGTTCGCACCATAGCTGTGCCACGAATTCTGTCTACCAGTTGTCCTAAATGCTCGCCCGTTTCGACAAATAACTGCTGCTTTTTATCATATGTTAGGGGATACGGGTGGCCCAGTCGTCTAAGGCGCCGCGATTCGCTATGCAGAGCTGCTTCCCTTGGGCACGCCAGAAACCTATGATTGTGGGCTCGAATCCCGGTTCGCCCCGATTATGTTTCTAGGTGTGTAAGCACCATACCCGTGCTCGTGGGTTTCACCGAAGTGGTAAACGTCCGAGACCAGATCACTTCGGGCTTTCCTCCCACATTAAGCTGACTCGCCGTGATATAACTGGAATACTGTTAAAAGCGGCGTTAAACCCAACTCACTCACTATCATATGATATGACGAGGAGTCACGTGTGATTGGTCAAACTACCTGAACGTGTGAATGAAATAGCCTAACCTTTTCAAAAGTGTGGCCACGTCATCTAAACGTGAGTTGACGCCATATTGTAAACAAATTGTGTTGAGGTCGGCAACACATGTGGTACCTCGGCCCACGTTTCTGTCGATGTGCACTACTGAGAATATCAACATAACTTCTACAATGATGACAGCAATACCTTTTTGCATATGGGTTAACCGCTTATGGATACGATGTGCTGTAAAGTTCGATTTCAATTTGTTTTTCCTTCCATTGAAACTGATAATGGCGCAATGATTAGTTTACTGAAATAGTATATTTCGTGGGTCTGGTGTACATGTAACATGCTGTGATTGTACAAGGTAACTGACATCTAATTATGTTGCTATATTTGATCAAATACACATTATAAATCTACTCAGAAAATGGAATATATTATCATAAGTAGGGTTCGTTTTTCAAACATCCTGCAATGGATATGAGGTCTAATTTATTTCCGTCCGCTTCTCAATGGGGGTCATTTTTCTCAAACACTATTTGAGTAAGAGAAATGAAATTTACACACTGATGTTACTGGTCACGATCTCATGTGAGTTCGGAACTTGGTGTCGTAAATTATATTTTACAGACTTACAACTGAGTCCATACTGCGTCAAATGGGGACACGTTTTCTGAGAAACTTCTGAATAGACAGGAATGAAAGTTTGCATGCCTATCTAACTGATACTTGCCAAGACTAAAATTGGTCCTATAAATTATTTTTTGCCAGAGAAGGGGCCTTTTGTGTGTATTAATATCACATTTCATCATTTTGTTTGATGACATAAAGTGACCCTAGTGCCTATCTCTTCTTAGGCGTTACAGGACTGGGTTTTTTTAATTGTTGACATTAACGTCATTGGTCACTACTATACGAACAGACAAAATTCGTCTGTGCCCCGCAGTAGAGGATAGTGATAACGCTGTGTTTTTGTTTAATGTGTATCCTTAATGTCATTTGTTATAAGAACATCTTGTCCAGGAGCAAGACGAATGCATAGTCTTGTGTTTATTGAACAAGTTTAAATAATATAAACACGTCCCATTTTAATTCTGGAAACCACTTTGTCCAGAAACTGTCTATGCTGTGACCGGTCTCGGGCACAGGTATTTCCAAAATCAACATGCTGTTTTCATAGGTACATACTAAGGAAGAAAAAAAATGAAAAAAAAATTGGGGGGGGGGGACTTAAAATTTAATATATTTTCCCATGGGCGAAAAAGTTTGAAAATGTTCAAATGTTTTGTCCGATGTTAATCATCCCGATGTTGTTTTTATCACTAATGACACTGAAACATATATGGACTTAACCAGGATTTCTTCAAGATACATAATCCAAAGTGTCGTTCGTATTGTTACATAATCTTTGAAACAGTCTGCGCACGAACTCTTTCGAAATCCCGACCACTTCCCTCCTCAGTTTTGTTTCGAGGTAAAAAACACAGGCCATTTCAACGGGATTTATATCGGTAAATCACACTCACAGACAATTCACAATGAATGTATACTTTGACATAAATGACATACGTGTATCATTGTTTTACAATGATATGAATTATTGGAGATCTAGATTTCAGACGAGGGCGCTTGACTTGCCACATGCGTTAGCTTCAACATTACAGTTAATGTAAAAAATAGCAACTTAGAAAAACCGGCACGTTCTTCGATGGCTAGGCGGTGCATATGCCTTGTCGAATTTCTTAATTTACATTCTGTTGGAGATACAATCCTCTCTACTTGAATGTTATACAATTTGGTTACATTGTGTGTAGAAATAAGAAAGTTGTATACGATTCGATCCTCGGCGACGTCATACAAAAAGGCGTTAAAAGATGGTACTTATTGTTACCA